GAAACTTGTCAGTAACCTAGAAGAGGAGTTTGATAAGGGGATAAGAGAAAATGGAATCAATTGTTTGTTCTTTGATGGGAGAAGGGATGACACTAAAGTGTTCATGAAAGTTGGAGATTCTGACAAGTTGTTCCCTGCCATGGTGAAGGAGGAACACTACTCCTGCTGCAGTGAACCAGGAGGGAAGTATTTGTGGCATTTCACTCCAGAGAAAGATGACATCAGGAAACCAGCTGAGATAGTGGCAGATAACATTGTGAACTGGCTCAGAGAGAGGAACGTAGACCAGACCCTGCAGGCCATTGGAGGGGACAGCACCAACACGAACACAGGGTGGCAAGGGGGGGTCATACAGTGGATAGAGCGGAAGATTGGGAGGAAGCTGGTCTGGATTGTTTGTGACCTCCACACCAACGAGTTGCCACTCAGACATCTGATCCAGGAGCTGGATAGCAAGACTCTTTCAAACAACAGGAATGGTCCTGGTCCTCTTGGCCCAAGATGCTGGACTCTGCCACTGAGTTAGAAACAAATCGGCACAGAAAAAAATCACAGTTGGCCCTCCACTCGTTGAGCTTGCACATACTGTCATTGACGACCTGAGTACTGACCAGTACTATGGTTACATGATTTGCAGTGCCATCAAAACTGGGGTCATGCCTGATAGACTTGCTTACCTGCAGATAGGTCCAGTCTCACATTCTAGGTGGCTCACAACGGCTCTCAGGTTCTGCAGAATTGGGTTGCTCATCATAAACTGAAAGGGAACCAGCTTCACAACCTGAGACTTATTGTCCAATTCATCGTGAGTGTCTACTTGCCAAATTGGTTCAACACCAAGGTCAGTCATCGTTCTCCGAAGGTCCGAGGCATGTTCTCTTCCAGCTTGAGCTCCTGAGGAGTCAGCCAGGAAGGTTGTTCAGATTGTGGAGCAGACTGTGAGGAGATCTTCCTGGTATGCTCATCCCGAGGCAGTTCTGCAGACAATGCTCTGCAGTAAGGATGAGGATATGAGACTTATGAGAGGATCTGGGCATGACGAATCAGTTGGTGACGATTCCTTCAGGGTCAGGAAGACTCCTGAAGTCAATCTAGGTGCCAAGACCCTCACTGATCTCATAGATCTGGATAACATCCAGGCTGGCAGTGAGCCCCCTCTTACCTGCAGCCTCACCAATGTTCAAGTCAGAGCTTTCCTGGACAACCCCATGCATGTCCCTGCCTGGCTCTCGCACACCCAGAGTATAGAGCGTTGTGTACAGCAAGTGAGCGAGGCCAGCAGTCACATGTACAGCCAGGAGAGGAGGGAAGGCTACATCCGAGCTCAGGTGGTCAGCAGGGAGGTGATGAGTAGAAACAGAAGCAAGAAAGACATGTTCTCTATGGTGTTCAGCAACACCGGGTCGTAGTAGTAAAACCGGTTTTTGTATTTGATGATTTTGTTTTCTAAAGGAATATTAAATTTAATAAATGTGTCAAGATCATTCGTTTCACTATTCTGGATCATTTTCATCCTAATAAATTAACCTGATACATTTACTTTACTTTAAATAAGCTATTTAGTGGTGTTGGCAAAAGGGTGGGAATACTGGATTTTCATAAGATTTCAAGTTAAAATTTACCTAGCAAAAAATGAAAACTTTTCAAATCTGAAGATATCACATAATTCTGCATATAGAACTACATCATTAATACCATGGGCCGATTTTTCAAACTCAAAAAAAAAAATTCGCCTCCGTATGACACACCCTATTGCGTATGTCTTCCCAAGCCAGTACACAGCCTCTTCACCATTAAGACTCCTGCTCTGCCTGCTCGTGGTAGCACACGGTAAATGGGTGCCTCGTGGGCCCAGGCTAGAAAAGTAGCGGATCTCGGAGCAGCAGTAGGCCCCAGAGGGACGGTGCACAGGCCCACTGGCATGTGAACAATCCCTGGCGCCTAACAGCGACTGCCCGCTACCTTGCACATTAACCTTGGTAGGAGTAAACCCCGAACGAAAACTCTGTGGTGGAGCTCACATTAAGCAGCCATGGCGGTAAAGGCGGAAGAGGTTAGCAACATGGGAATCCAATGAATAAACTGGTGGATGAATGCAGTGCATGATGGACAGGCTACTTAGGCAAAACCCAAAGAAAAACAACGATATCGGCAGTCCCTTGCAACTCTCTCTCTCTCCCCAGTCGTTGCAACTATTTGCACCACTGGATCAGGAAAAGGGAGAGCCAAGATGTGTGATTGCAGCCTGCGCTCCTGCCTCACCACATAAATCAACTCATGCGCATCCATCGTCCAGCTCATAATACTTTTCATCATCATCAAATCCCAATCCACTAAAAGTCCTATGGCGACAGACCAGTGGCAACAGGGACAGGCAGAGATGGCCGGGAGTCTCTAGTCACAACTCTGCACATGGGCGGCACAGATAAGATGGGCGTTTATGCACTGGGATCTAGGCAGCAGTGCAATCCGGTCCTGTCTGTGTGGCTGAACAGCCCTTATGAGGAGCCACTCTGCTCACCCCACACGGGGAGGGGGCTAGAAAAGGTGCCCTAAACATAGCCTGCCTAAAACCCAACCTGACTGGGCAACCGCACACAGTAAGGTCATCCTTATGCGGTCGAAAACACAATCAAAATCACAGATCCAAACAAAAACATACCATACAACCTCTTATGGTCACTGCATGGAATGTTAGGACCCTTCTGGATACTGGCACAAATGTAAGTCCTGAAAGAAGAACTACCCTTGTGGCAAAAGAGCTGGCTAGGTATAATATCGACATAGCAGCCATCAGTGAGTCCCGGCTCCCAGATGAGGGCCAACACACAGAACGGGGTTCTGGCTACACCTTCTTCTGGAAGGGTAAGCCTGCTGCGGAGAAACCGAATTTATGGAGTTGGCTTTGCCATCCGCCAATGCATTCTACACAGGTTAACTGAAATGCCTATTGGAATCAACGAGCGCCTCATGACGCTTCGAGTTCCACTGAATCACTCACGTCATGCCTTCTTCATCAGTGCATACGCCCCAACACTGGATACAGAGAAGACAAGGTTGTGCTCCTTAGCGACTTCAATGCCAGAGTTGGCAGAGATGTTAACATTTGACAGAGAACCATAGGGATAAATGGACTAGGTAAGTGTAATCCCAACGGCCTACTCCTTCTCAGCATGTGTGCTGCTCATAACCTCACGATTACCAATACCTTGTTTAGGCAGGCCGACAAGTTCAAGGGATCGTGGCAACACCCACGAACCAAACACTGGCATCTAATTGACTACATCATTGTCAGAGAAAGAGAGCGCCGAGATGTCCTCATCACCCGTGCCATGCATGGCTCAGACCACTGTGACACTGATCATCGACTTGTCAGATCCAAGCTCTCGTTTCACATTGCCCCAAAACGGCGAAGGCAGCAAGCCTCCAGAAGAGGTTTTAATACTAAGCGTCTGGAGGATCCAGCGGTAGCACATGCTTTCAGAGAGCAGCTCGAACATGGGCTTTTAAACAACCCAACAGCAAACAATGGGAATCCCAGTGCCGAATGGGATACTCTTAATACTGCTATAACAAAGACCTGCAGAGAGACCCTCAGCCAGACCAAAAGAATACATCAGGACTGGTTTGATGAAAATGACCTGGCAATCAAAGTACTCATCGATAAACGTGCTGCATTTACTGACTGGCAGAACAACCCTCAGTCTCGGACCAAGGCTGATACCTTCCGCAAGACGAAAGCGGCAGCCCAGCAGGAACTTCGCAATCTAAAGAACGACTGGCTTAAAATAAAGCATATGAAGCACAAAACTTGCAGATCAGCACAAGATGTGCAATTTTTTCATTTCCACTAAATCATTTTATGGGCCAGTCACTCGTGGTGCAGCCCCCCTTCGCTCATCTGACGGTAACCACATAATTAAAGACGACGAAGGCGTCCTTCAGCACTGGAAAGAGCACTGCCATTCATTGCTCAACCGAAACACCGATGTGGATGTTCTGACTACCCAGCAGGTCCCTCAGCATCTAGAGCTGACCCACCTCAGCTATCCTCCATCCCTGGATGAGGTAGCTACCGCCATCAAACAGATGAAAAATAACAAAGCCTCAGGGCTTGATGGAATCCCAGTGGAGGTAAATAAAGCAGGGGACCTATGCTTACCATCCGTCTCCACTCTCTCTTGGAGAATATAGGGGAAAAGGAGGAAATCCCCCCCCCCCCCCAAGCTCTTAAAGACACCTCCATTGTCAATATTTATAAGAACAAGGGGGACCGGTCAGACTGTGGCAACTACCGTGGGATCTCGCTGCTCTCTGTAGCTGGCAAGATTATTGCCCAAGTCCTCCTAAACCAGGGGTTCTTAACCTGGGGTCCATGGATGGGCTTCAGGGGGTCCGTGAAGGTCGGATAAAAATTTAACATTTATATTCACTATATTTTTATATTAAGTTGTTCTATTTTTGTCAATATATACCAGATGCTATGTATGTATTTTTGGTTACTGAAGAAAACCAGTAAATCTGTAGGGTGGGATGCTACTGTACATGTGCTTATTAATTTGTGTTCATTAGTTACTGCTTTCCATATAAATTACATAACATTTTTTGTTTTGTAGGCCTTGCTCAATTTGGAAATGTCAAAGAAAAGGAAGTACAACGAAGCTTACTTATCCTTTGGTTTTACTTTCATCGCTGAACGTGATGGGACACAAAAGCCACAGTGTTTCCTGTGTGGCAAGATTCTTGCCAATGGAAGCATGAAGCCAACAAAGCTGAAGGAGCACCTCACGTCTGTCCATCCTGAAAATGCATCGGACAGTGTTGATCTATTTCGTGCAAAGAAGGCTCGATTTGAGAAAGCTGGAACTTTACCAAAACTTGGATTTGCCCCATCACGATAGCCTTGTCTTGAAGCATCGTACAAGGTTGCTTATCGCATTGCCAAGCAAAAGAAACCACATACGATTGGAGAGACCTTGGTAAAGCCATGTGCCCTGGAAATGGTCGAGCTGGTTTATGGCTTGGAGCAGAGGAAGAAAATTGCAGCAGTGCCTTTGTCAAATGACGTCATCCACTCTAGAATTGCTGACATTACTTCTAATATTCTGAAGCAAGTAATGGAAGAATTGGCAGCTACGCCATTTCCGTTCAGCATGCAACTGGATGAAACTACTGACGTCTCTCAGTGCAGCCAGCTCCTGGTTTTCGTCCGTTATATGCATGCTGATGCTATCAAAGAAGAATTCCTATTTTGTGAGTCCCGTTTGGAAACTACAAAGGCCATCGACATCTTAGAAATGGTGAATAGTTTCTTTGCCAAGCAAAACTTCGACTGGAAGAAAAATCTTGGTACTCTGTGCACAGACGGAGCACCTGCGATGCTTGGCAACACATCTGGTTTTGCTGCTTTGGTGAAGAAAGAAGCTCCTCAGGTCATCGTGACCCATTGTTTTCTACATCGGCATGCATTGGCGTCAAAGACTCTGCCAGCAATTCTGAAAGAAGTATTGTCTACTGGCGTGAAAGTCGTCAACTTCATCAGAGCCAGGGCTGTGAACCATCGCGTTTTCAAGAGGTTTTGTCAAGAAATGGGAGCAGAATATGAAGTTCTTCTCTACCACACAGAAGTTCGCTGGCTTTCCAGAGGACAAATCTTGAAGCGCTTGATTGAACTTCGAGCAGAAGTTTCACTTTTTTTGAAAGAAAAAGAAAGCCCACTCTCACAACAGTTTGACAGTGAGGAGTTCATTCATGGCTTGGCCTACTTGGCAGATATTTTTGGCCATATGAATGAGGTGAATCTTGCGATTCAAGGCCCTGGAGTCACATTTTTGGATGCTGCTGAAAGACTGCAAGCTTTTCTGGCCAAGCTGCCACTGTGGAAGAGGAGGTTGGAGGCAGACAACTATGCAAACTTTCCAATGTTAGAGGAAGTGCTTCTGCAGGATGGAATCGAGAGTGACAAGGCCCTGTCAATTTCTCTGCAGGCAGAATTCTGCAGACATCTGGATACTCTGCAGAACTATTTCAAAGGTTTCTTCTGCTCAAGGTTTCCTTAAAGTTGAAACATGGATTCGTAATCCTTTCCTTGCCGACATAGACTGTATCAGTGATGAAGACCTTGCCAAAGATGACCTCATTGACCAGAAGACAAAGGAAATGTTACGAAATTAATTCAACTCGAAGAGCCTTGGAGAATTCTGGTGTGCGTTGACACAAGCCTACCCTCAACTGGTAAAGCGAGCTATGGGTGGTCTGATTTCGTTTGCTACTATATACCTTTGTGAGTCAAGGTTTTCAGCACTTGTTTCTATCAAAACGAATAGTCGAATTCGATTGGATGTCAAAGATGACATGCGTGTTACCTTGTCAAAGACCACTCCACAGTTTCATCTTCTTATTCAAGCCAAACAACAACAACCTTCTCATTGAAATGAACTTTTGAGCAGAATTAAAGTTTTGTTTTGTTTAATTTGCACAAGATGATTGTATTTCATTTTTGTATGGAGTGGCCATTAATTTTTGCATAAAAAAGCATGAAACATAATTCTTTGTTAAGATTGTTTACTTTATTCATACTTTGTGTATGTCATACACTGTATGAGGCAATGAATTTTCAATAAAATAAAGTATATCATTGCATGCAAAGTTGTGTTTATGTGCTTATGTGCATTTTTCTAGGGAGGGGGTCCATAGCTTTCACCCGATTCTCAAAGGGGTCCGCGACTCAAAAAAGGTTAAGAACCACTGTCCTAAACAGACTTCTTCCTGAGGCGGAAAACTTCCTCCCAGAATCTCATTGTGGTATTAGACCATCACGTGGCACCACTGACATGATCTTTGCTGCCCGCTAGATACAGGAAAAGTGCAGAGAATAGCGTCGTGACCCGTACATGGCTTTCATCGACCTAACCAAGGCCTTCGACTCGGTCAACAGGGAAGCCCTCTGGTGGACCCTCAGCCGTTTTGGCTGCCCACCAAAATTCATCGCCATTGTGAGGCAATTCCACGATGGCATGAACGGCAGTGTCCTGCACTATGGTACCCAGTCAGAGTTCTTCCCCATCCAAACAGGGGTTAAACAAGATTCACAGTGCTTAACAAGCACGATGAACAGGCTTTATGTGGAAAATAACAAAGCCTAGTATTACTTTTGTTGTCCTTGTGGTGCGGTGGTAGCGATCCTTGTTCAGGGTTCGATTCCTGACTAGTGAGGTATTGTTTATATATACAGTGGTGTAGAGCTGTGGGAACACAGGAGAACGGCGTTCCCTTACTTTGTTTGGGAGGGGAAACGGCGTTCCCTCACTATTTCAAATAAATTCAAACGTACAATTCTCTAATGTAATTAATATTTTTATTTCCACCCCTTAAAGAAATATGAGAAAGAATCATTAACTGTTACAATTCTTTTTGCTTCAACTGAGGTAACGCTAGCCTATAAACTTTGAGGCGTTGTGATTTTGTGGCATCGTCACGTTACTTACTTAGAAAAATACTCACAAAAATAATAGCCACTCCCTCCCATTTCTTACAGGCCTGCGGCCGCTCCCCTCACTTGGACATTAGTTTTCTCGGTTGTCAAATACCTTAAATCTGGTAAAAAGTAAAAAATAGGTTGAGTCTTATTTTGGTTAGTCTGTTTTATATATTTTTAAGTTAATTTATTCTAATTCGTTGGTATAATATATTCTCTTAATAAGCAGCAGAAATATTTGTAAATATCTAAAATAATGTGCATTCCGAAAAATCTGGCATACTCAACATTGTTCAGTGCAATGTGCTGACGCTGCTGTAGACCTGCAGTGCTGAGTAGGAATGCCAGTTTAGTTGCTCACCAAGTCACCTAGAAAACGCATGCACTTGTCTTGACACTGGTGGAAGTCTAGAAGACTATTATTGTACCGTTGTATGTGTTGACAGTACTGGTGAAATTATATAGTGGCGTTCTGAGAACCGTAGCTCAATGCGAGTGATGTAGGCTTACCAAAAATTTTCCAAAAATCGTTATTTAATCAAATGCTGAACCCTCAAAAATGAGTGAGAAACGTAAACAAGCATCCATACAATCATTTTTCACACCCAAAAAAAGGTAATAGAACACACAGAAGAAAGTGAAACTTGTGCAAATGATTCCACAAGTGATATTGAGTGCGGAAAAGTAATTCCACAAGCTACTACTTCTAGTGGTGTGTCATATTCCAGTGAAGGGACACTGCCAGGACAACATTTAATTAAGTCTGCATGGCCTGAAATTTGAACTGCTGAGATGTGGGAAGATAAGATAAAGGCTTACTCGTGGCTTGTGAGTGATTCTGGAAAAATCGAATGTGCAGCAGTGTGGCAAATCTAGGCCCATTTAAATCACAAGGTGCTAGTGTTTCCAAAGAATGGAGTTCAGTTTCAGTTTCTTTCAACGGCAGCACAAGATCAGTCCAACTATCATCCTTGAGAAAAAAATGTTTGCTTCATTCAAAGTCGCAGTCACGCATCAGTGCTGTTAAAATTCTTCAGAGTGCAAGGGAACAATAAGTTGAAACTATCGTGGACCGTTTAAATAAATCTGAAGTAGAGGCTACCTGCAAAATATCTAGAACTGCATATATTATATAGTCAAAAATGATAAACCATATACTGGCCATTTTGATTCGTTGCAATTGCAAGAATTAAATGGCACAGACATTCCACAAGAATTGCGTTCACGATTTAGTGCTACAAATATAATTGACCATGTTGCACAAAAAATGAGATCAAGAGTCAACAAACGCATCCTTGAAATAAAAGGAAAAATAGTCATTCTAATAGACGAGTCCACCATTCTTAGTAGCAAAACTACTTTGATAGTCTATTTGAAATGTGAAACGAACAAGTCAGATGATCCACCTTTTATTTTCCTAGATTTGCTAGAAATACCTGATACAACAGCAAAAACAATAAGCGAACACTTACTTGTCTTGCTGAGCATGGGTTTGATCATGATTATCTTCAGGATAATCTTATTGCTTTTACCAGTGATGGTGCCAGTGTAATGTTGGGGAAAAACTCTGGTGTGGCTCAACGACTGTTGCAGAAGTACCCTAATATTATAGTATGGTATTGCTTAAATCATCGCTTGGAATTGTCAGTAGCAGATACAATTTCTGAAGTACATGGTGTTAATAATTTTCGTTCATTTATGGATAAACTGTACTCTTTATACAGTCAACCTCCTAAGAACCAAAGAGAAATTCAACAGTGTGCAGCGAAGCTTAATGAACAGTTGAAAAAAATTGAAGAGTGTTAGGAGCTAGATGGGTTTCAAGCTCCTTCAGAACTGTTTTAGCAGTTTGGAATGACTATGCATCTCTGTGTTATCATTTTGAGCATGTTGGCAGTGGCACTGATAAAAATCTATCAAAAGTTGACCAGTGTACCTTCAGGGGGCTTCATAAACGCATTTCATCAAAACAGTTTCTCCTTGATCTGGCACTTATGTACGATGTATTATTTGAATTATCTCTTCTTTCTGAGTCCTTGCAGAAAAGGGATGTTACTATAGTTTATGCAGACAAGTTAATTCGTCGCAGCATACAATTTTTAGAAGCAATGAAGGAACGCAAGGGTAAAAAAGTCTTCGAAGCAGAAAATGCCATTAAGGAAATGAAGTTTTCATCAGTGACACTGACAGAAAACAACAAGATTGTTTCAATCAATCATGGTCAGTTTTTAACTAGTATCATAAACAATATGAAACAACGGTTATTCACATCAACTTCTTCCCATGAATCAACAAAGTCACGACCAGCAATTTCTGACTCCTTTCCAAACATAATTTCTGAGCTGGGTATCTTAGAAGTCGATAAGTGGCCAGCTGAGATAAATCCAGGATTTGGAGAAAAAGAAATAGAGTCCCTTTGCAAACGTTTTAGATTCCATTTTCAAAAACAATCACAGCATACAGAGCCTTTCTAGACAACGGTGGGTGACATATTCCGCCAGACCTGAAGCCTTTAATCGGATGTTCAAAAGTATTCCCATGCAGCTCTTCTGAATGCGAACGAGGCTTTAGCAGCATGAACCTTATCGTGACGGAAACGAGGTCTAGACTGTTAATTAACCATGTGAGCAATCTCATGTTTATCAAACTTCACGGTCCTCCGATTCCAACCTCTAAACCAGACGACTTCGTGCACAAATGGCTTAGGTGTCATCGTTCAGCAACTGATACACAAACAAGAATAGCCAAGTCCAAGGAGCTCACTGTGGACCCAGTTTGGAAATTCTGTTAAAAATTTCTCCAAGACTGCAAAAGTTCAAGGTTATTTTTTAAATTGTATTTAATAAATTGTATTGCTTTGAGACTGTGGAATCATGATAAGCTACACATCACCATTATCAAGCCCTACGTTAGCAGGGTTTGGTATCGAAACTGGGGGTAAAAATGTCGCCCGAATGTATAGTACAGTAGGATATAGAGATCCGGGAAGTTCATCTTATCTGTCTGTCACGAAACTCTTCCGACACAATGGGACCACTTGTTACCAAAATTGGAACATAAATTGATTAGACCTATGCGAGGGTCAGTTAAGCATTGATATAAATGATATTGTCCCCAATGATAATGCCCACCCCCACCAACCCCTCTTTTGACCCCCCAAAATCAGTCAGGACCCCCAGTTGTATGGGCTCGTTGCGCTCGACAGTGCCCCCACCATCTGAGTAACACTTTCAAAATGCGTTCCCTCACTTTTTTTAACACCACTACACCACTGCATATATATATATATATATATATATATATATATATATATATATATATATATATATATATATATATATATATATATATATATATATATATATATATATATATACTTGCAGAATCGCCGCCCTCCGGGCGGCTCATCCACTAGGCCACGGTAGGACGCCACCCTCCGGGAGGCTCCACATTGTCTCACTGTTCAGTCCCCAAAACTTCTTCTTTCATCAATAGTTCATTAACGGTGTATGTAAGTTCCACCATGTTTTTCACTACAACGGTACAGCAAAGTATATTTTTTTAGCATTAAACTATTATTATTTTATTGTCTAATCATCACTACATATAACACCACACATCAACACTACATATGACATCATCCATCATCACTACATATAACACCATCCATCATCACTACAAATAACACCATCCATCATCACTACATATAACACCACCCATCATCACTACATATAACACCATCCATCATCACGACATATAGCACCACCATCACTACCATCACAACTACCACCATCATCACTACCACCACTACTACCACCATCATCATTACCACCACCATCATTACCACTACTATCAACCAGTTTCTACCACCACCACTATCACCACTATATGCCGCTATCACCATCACCACCACTACCACTGTCACTACCACCGTCACCACCACCACCATCATTACCACTACTATCAACCAGTTTCTACCACCACCACACTCATCGTACTACCACCACCACTATCACCACTACATGCCGCTATCACCATCACCACCACTACCACTGTCACTACCACCGTCACCACCACCACTACATATAACACCATCCATCATCACTACACCATATATCACTACATATAACACCATCCATCATCACTACATATAACACCATCCATCATCACTACATATAACACCATCCATCATCACTACATATAACACCATCCATCATCACTACATATAACATCCATCATCATCATATAACACCATCCATCATCACTACATATAACACCATCCATCATCACTACATATAACACCATCCATCATCACTACATATAATACATCCTCATCACTACAGATCGGTAAAGTAGTTTCCGAGATTCTCGTGCGGACTCACACACACACACACACACACACACACAGACATACTTCTTTGTTTTATATATATATATATATATATATATATATATATATATATATATATATAGATATATCTTACTAATCGGGAATATATATATATATATATATATATATATATATATATATATATATATATATATATATATATATATATATATATATATATATATATATATATATCAGTGGCGTATTCTTAATGAATGCCTAGTAGAAAGCAAAATGTATTCTTAAGTAATATCTTCAATAATACGGATTTAATTTTAGAGTCTTCACAGTTTTCACTCAGGAAAGTTGAGGAGACTCAGCGTCCCTCAATGCATGCAGAAGGATAACCGCATGCCCTCAGTGGACATTCTGTTACCATCCTATCAATAACATGCTAAAATGAACTTTATTGTGTTGGACCATAAGGAATTTGAGCCATTTTAGTCAAATTTAATACTTTTTTCCCTTAATAAGCATGAAGTGTTATGTTATACGGTGATATTACATAAATTAAAACTTGTTGTTCCGTAAGAGTGGCAATTTAATAAGGTTTCTGTAAATGTAATGGGTACAAATGTATGCAAATCGAAATTTGCGTTAACTTGTCGAGAGGCGACGGCTCTCTGGCAGCTGGACAAAACTGGTCCACATCATTATTTTTAATATTTCTAAATAACCCTACAGTTCGCTTTCAGTTATAGTTTTTTCACTTGGGAAAGTTATTAAGTTTTTTGTTTTACTTAAAACAACAATCAGATCATATAAATAAAAATGTTCAGCAATAAGAACATAAGAACAAAAGAATGGAGGAAACTGCAGTGGGCCTATTGGTCCACATTACAGTAGGCAGTCCCATTTACACCCAACTCCTCCTATCACTCATATATCATTTCAATCTACATTTGAAACACCCAGCGTGTTCGAGTTAATGAATGAAGCTTGGTAAGTTGTTCCACTCATCCACTACTCTATTTCCATCCTAATTTTGGTCATTAATCAGAAAGTGTCACCAAGGACCTCAGTATTATAAATAGGGTTTTCTAGTGTAACTCATCGTGTTAAATACAAATATAACACCCATTGCCGTCAGAAATGAGGCATAGTGAAGATACTGGAAAAAAAAGTGGCAGGTCAAACAATGTAAAAACCCCAAAAAACCTAAAACACCTAACCTAACCTCACCCAACCTAACCCCTAGTGCATAAGAAATTGACCTAAAGTAAGAGATACAGGAGGATAAAGCGATGCTGTCAGTGTCAGTCTTTTATCACAGTACTATGCATGGCAATCTACATAGTAATGACACTCTGAATTACATCTCGGACACTTTACAGATGAAACAAAAACACCGTGAGCCCTAAAAATATCAACGGCTGCTGTTTCACTGTCCAAAATGCACTGAATAATCCAACAGCCAGCCAATGTACTGTGGTGGACAAAAGTTCCTTCCCTCAGCCAGCCACAATGTGACTGAAACCCCTGAGGTTCGAATAACGAAGCAACTGAGGGAAGTGCTGTAATAGTCAAACAAATGGCGCACTGTATAGTGCGTATAACGGGGAATGGGAGCCAGAGGGGGAAAGAGAGGGAGGGCTGAGGGAAGGGACTTTAGTCCACCATAGTACATCCATATCACACTGATGCCACCTTCCAACTGACCGCGAACGTTGATTAGTGCACGAGTGTTGTGTCACTTCAGTACTCATGCTGATTGGCTCGCACGACTATGACATCACATCAACACTCACGCTGATTGGCCAAATATTATACTTTATTTTTTTTTTTACTTTTACTCGAAAACTATACATTTCCGACGAAAACATTATAGAATAAATTATTTGTATTTATTTTTCTCAATCTCCCATATATGACTCAATACTCAGGTCCCTGGTGACACTTTCTGAGTATTGACCGTAATTTTTACCTATTTCGCACCTAAATCTAAATTTGTCTTATTTAAAACCATTGCTTAATCACAAAATTGTCTAATTTGTACATTCCATAACTCAAATTCATGTTGACAGATACGGTATTTTTAATGGGACTAGATTCTATAATGTTCCTACTGACAATTGAATTACATGGCAAATTTGAGGCTGCATTAGCCCAGTCAATGCAATGATTATTACCTCTCATATGTGATGAACAAAACATTAGATTCCTGGCCTGTCTTAACACTATATTTATGCTGTTTAAATCTAGTTATAGGGTCTTTGCCCGTCTGACCTGAGTAAAACATATTTCATTCCTTGCAAGGAACCTAGTAAATGCAGCCACCTGCATTGGTGGGGGGAGTTCTTAATTAACTTTTGTTTTACAATGCATGAATTAGTAAACATTACATTTACGTTCCAGGTTTTCAGTTGCAGAGGAATTTTAGAGAGTTTTTTTTTAAGGTAATACTAAGAGATTCTTATTGTCATGAGGCGGTTTAGGATCAGTTCTATAAAAAAATTTCTTAGCGATGTTAAGGCATTTGTCTATGAAAGATCTAGGGCATTTTAAGTTCAATCCAATATTATAGATATATTTATAATCCTTGACAATGAATTCCGGACTGTATATTTGTAGAGCACGTAAAAACATTGATGAAAATACAGACTGACTCTATTATGGTGGGCAGAATAATAATGATTTTATGAACACACATTAGTAAGTTTCCTATAAATACTGAACTTAAAAGGTGTTACCTACTCTGTGGATTATACAGTCTGGGAATGGTTATTTACAGTAATTTACTAATTCCACAGTGAATTTGATCTAGGGGCCTAAGTTGTTAAGTAGTGGTAGAAAACTTTAAGTTTTCATGACATGGCCAAAGACATTTTACATCATCTAGATATCTAAACCAAACTGCTGAATGTGGTAAACTATTACTTAGTAGTTTCTTCTCAAAAATTCCATATATAAGTTGCTCAACACTGGTGAAATCAGATAACCCATAGCCATATCAAATTTTTAAGCATGATATTCTCCAATAAATTCAACTTTACAATCCTTAATACACAGTCTGGGCAACTGAGCTAATAATGGGTCTTGCTGGGTTATTTGGCTTGTGAGTCTTGATAAGACCATAAATTTAAGAAAATATTTAATAACCCAAATTTGCCATTGTGCATAATATACTCTCCCATAATGCATTTCAGACTAGGCCTTGAGCAACTGTTCAACCTCAGGTGTCAGCTTCCCCAGTTTAGTGTTTACACACATACAATATGCATGTAATATGTTTAGGTATATATACAGTATAGCAGGGCCGGATTTACCTACTTGTGGGCCCCAGGCCAAACTCATCAGTGGCCCCCAAATTTATAGAAATGTTTGCATGTTTCAATATATATATATATATATATATATATATATATATATATATATATATATATATATATATATATATATATATATATATATATATATATATATATATATATATATATATATATATATATATATATATATATATATATATAACCACAAGGAAAGAAAAACACGAAGTTCCCAAGCGCTTTCGTGTAATTCACATCTTCAGGGTGAGTACAGACTAGTCTGCTCGTCTGTACTCACCCTGAAGATAATTTTGCACCTCCAGTGATTTACTTGCATATATATATATATTTATATATATATATATATATATATATATATATATATATATATATATATATATATATATATATATATATTACTGTAATTATTTTGCAATGGCCAAATGTCATCAAATATTACATAATATCATAATATTATAACGTAAGAAATAAGAATTTCAACATAATGTGACACATCATTACTTTTAATCAAATTAGTTCTATAACATGTACATCTTCAGACCTTACCAATATATAATATATATATGCGTGTGTGCATGTGTGTATGCAACTATTCATTCATATATTAAATATCCACATTTTCAGGATCAGAGGGAAGCTACTGATGATGAACTCAAGGTCGAATCACATCGGAAAGTAAAATGAAAGTCAAGCGCCACAGTTAAAGCCAAGTGTCACAGTCAAAGTCAAGCAATACAGTTAAAGAAAAGTGTTATAATGAAAATTTGGTGTTAATTTAAAAATCCAGTAATAATGACATCTTGATAAACATTTAACGTCACTGGTAAGGTCTAACTTATAAGCACACTAACTGAAAATTTTAAGAGTTAGTAGTAGTTATTCAAATGTGACGTATAAGTAAAGCTTTGGTGTCACAGAGAAACATGGACATCACTGTGAGAATAAATATTACAGTAAAACCTGATAAAAATTTGAGAACCTAATGTTCACTGTAAATATCTAAGGTCATGATAAACAGCTGATGTCATATTGAATAACTGGTGTTATAGTGAAAAGATAACGTCATAGTGAATACCTGTCGTCAATGTGGAAAAAAGTGACTTATTAAAGAGAGATTTGGCGTCACAAAAGGAAAAACTTATATCTGATTTCTCTTAAAGACTTCAGGTTGACTTTAATACCACCCAGCCAGAGAATTGGTGAAAGGAGTGTTAACTAGTAACGTGGAGGCTGTACTGGTGATCGTGGTGAGACGCAAAGCATCGACATGTGGGGCACAAAGGCTGCAGCAGATCGCCTCAACCTGGGCACCAAGGATGAACTGGTGAGTGTACAGCATTGCTCTCCTTAAACCCACCGGTTGCTGTGTGGCCCTGATATTGTCAAGATACTACATTGTTCATTACTCTTTCATTCATCTCTCTAATCGTCCCATCCATTAAGATATTGAAAAATCAAGATATTTCGTATCTTTGATGTGATCCTACTTTCACTGACGCACCGAACATATCCTTCACTCTCATTATAACTGTGAACAATATACCGCAATTTCCTTTTTTTCACATACCAAACCAAACCACCCCTTCCCCCCACCATGGTAGCACTAGGGTGTTTAATAATTGGATGAAATAAGCTCGCGTGCTTAACCTTCTTGTGAACCCTCCGTTCACCTCCCCTCTTCAGATTTATATATGTCACACACCAAATTATATTATTTTTTCACTTCTTTTCACTGAAGCTCTTTAGAATACGAGTACATGCATCAAACATCCTTCGTAGTTCTGTATAAATAATACCGTACTGAATAATGTCTTCCCTGCCAACTACCGTCCTGAATAATGTCTTCCCTGCCACCTACCGTACTGAATAATGTCAGGTACAGGTACAGCCATATCGGTTTAGCCTGCATTTTCCTACTCCCCTTAACACAACACCAGATCCCTGACATCATTTGAAGCAGTAGCTACCAAAATTATTCCCGGCCGGGGCTCTCCAGGACAACTCCGCCATTTTGGACCCATTTATGGTATTTTCTGCACTAATTTCCAAAGGTTGCACTACATATATAAATGTTGGTAGAAAGATGAAGGTAGCTGCAGGCCTAACATAGCCTTACCACCAAAACAAGATAATAACCATTCACATGTAGTATGCATTCACATATGCAGTTATAAACCTCACCAATACTGTGCAAGACTGACTCCGAATGCCTCACTTTATTGATCTTGATTTGGTTCGGGGCACAGCAGAAACATTTGGGGTACGTGCCCCACTTGCCAGTGCCTAACGACACACCTGATATCTTAATGAAACGTTGACTACAAATGTGGCAAAATCTCAAGTTCATTATATTTATAGAGTCATAAACCCCCAAATCAAATTCACATAACCTTTATATTAGAGGCATTCATATTAGCAAACAAAAACTCTGTGTTCTCTGTACTAAGTATCACTAAGTTAAGTATGAAATCTGTTGGTAATTATTGATAAACATCTTATTTATTACAATGAAGGTTGAATATTTTAAAAAGTTTTCTTTGTTTCTATTTTTGAAGATAAGAATGACAATTGCTGTATATTAAACTTTCAGGCAGATTTTTGGTTCATTTTGTAAATAGTTGCTCAAGAACTTATATAAAACTTTCCTCCCTCTTCTTATATCGCATCAAGTGGTTATGTTATATTGCATTAGATTTCCGTAGGTCAAGTTAGGTTAGGTTAGAATTACGATGTTTAATCTTCAGGTGAAATAAGCTGGGGCTAATCTTCACTTGATCTCAGTGATATCCTTCGTGTCCAAGTGGTTCTTCAACCATCATATTGTTGAGTGTTTTCCTCTTGACATAAGCCTGCTGGTAGCCTCTGTGATACCGTATATCAATACTCAGCACAAGGTGTCAGGATACTATATTGGGACGTACTTTATGTATACAGTACTTGGCCATATCTTATACAGGTAAGTTTTTTTTTTTTATCGTTCATATCTAGATTTCCATGACGTTCCAATCTACTGTATTTTTTATTTTATAAGTTATGAAAGCGTTTGTTCTGGGCTATCTATTTATCTAATCAGGAATGCAGATTAAATTGTAGTCACGGTTAACGATTTTATTGGCATGACATCAAGTGGCCACATTCAGGTCACTGAATGTGGCCACTTGATGGCATGTCTGACATTCTTGGAGCAACTCGTGTTAATGGGGGGTAATGCTTATTAATCTCAGCTGTGATACATTTCTCTCAGTTTTCAATAACTACTAATAATAGGAAACTATTAATACGTCAATGAAAGCTCCAGTCGCACACAATTATACGTTAGTTAAGTCCACATAATTTTTCGTTTTTATTTATTCCTTGAATTCTGAAAACATGGAGAATTTTAGCCTGGGGCATTGGATGGTCAATAACAACACAAGCCAACACCTTATTCTAGATTCTACCTCTGTCGAAATGGGTTACGTTGTGGAGATGCTAAATTTTGGTTCACATATATTGTGTACTGAGAGTTACAGTTACAATCCTCATCTCCAAGAGTTGTGAACCACGGGAGTATGAACTTGCGTCCGAAGCATTCGCTTGTGACGTGAAGTGGGGTACCGGGGGTCGGTGTGTGAGAAGGTTTTTTTTTTTTTTTTTGTAGGAAAAGGAGGAATGAAGGAAGATTAGAGGTGGGGGAAGGAAGTTATAGTTCGGAAATTGAAGAATTTCAGGAGGAGGTAAGAGAGGGCGGGCTGACCGCCTAGCTAAGCTAATAGTGTGTTAGGGTTGTGTCATGGGTTAGTTATTGTCTGCCGGTACAGGCACTAGACAGCCAACCCTGTCCCATTTATGGGTGATTTAAGGGCCTTATTTCATATTCCGCCGACCCTACTGGCTGATGCTGGTCTAGGGAGGTTGTCTATTGCCTGGTCATGTAGATCGGGGGTGGTAATGGACCTTTTGAGATTTCGTAGCTTTTTGGGGACCATGTATGGTTGTTGTCGTTATCTGGTGGGAGTCTTTGAAGGAGTTCTTGCTCTGATCGTTCTATCTTTTGCCAGATTCTGCTGGCCAGGGTGTGCAGCTCCTGGTTGATGGGTTTCATTCTCAGGTCTCTATGTATCTCGGCTGTGGTTCTGGCGAAGGGGTATCTTTCACCTGTGACGAATCTTAGGGCTTCATTTTGGACCACCTGTAATTTTAATATTTGAGTGGTGCTCATAGTATGAAGAGGTATTGCTGGGTAAGTTAATATCGGTGTGATAAATGATGTCACCAGGCGGAGTTTAATTTTCTCAGGAAGCGCTTTAAAGAGGTACAGTTTTCTCAGCTTTCTTCTTGCTTTTTCCTTCCTGCTGTGGACATGATGGGAGTAACCTGTCGTGGATATATGTAGGCCCAGGAGGGTGCCTCTGCTTTTGTATTCTATCTGGGCATTATTGGTTACTAATGGATGGGTTTTCCTTCTGCATAAGGGTATCACTGTGAATTTCGGGAGACTGGTTTGGATTTTCCATTGTTTTTCGTAGTTATTTACCCTTTCTAATTCCCGCCTGGTGTTTTCGGCCTGTAACGCTCGCGATTTTCCTTGATGTGTTGTTATTTGAGTGATGTCGTCTGCATACATAATATCTTCGTTACCTATTCTAGTGGGAGGCGGGGTGTCACTTGTGTAGATAATATATAGGGTGGGGGAGAGGACGCTTCCTTGAGGGACTCCACTCATGAGCGGGAAGGTCTCTCCTGTGTTGTCCTACCCCCAGTCTAGCGTTTCTGCCGTCAAGAAAGTTGCAAAGCAACTTTTCAATGTTGGTGGGAAGTCCGAGTTGGAGGATCTTATATTTTAGACCATCGTGCCAGACTTTGTCAAATGCCTTCGCTACATCCCGGAGAGTTAGATTACATTGTCTACCACTCGCCGCGGCTCTGGCTATGTTTTCGCATGCCAGGGCTATCGCTGTTGTGGTGGACTTCCCTTTCCTGAACCCGAATTGTCTGCAGTTGACTCTGTTTGTTGTTTCCAGGTGATTTCTCAGACGGTTATTGATGATTTTTTCTAGGATTTTTCCAGGTACTTCGAGGAGGAAGATCGGTCTGTAGTTTAGTGGGACGGCGGGGTTCTTTCCTTGTTTTGGTGTTAGGGTAATAATTGCCTCTTTGAATTTAGTTGGGAAGTAGCCCGAGGCCAGGCAAGCGTTCAATGTGGTTCTCAGTCTCTCCATGGCCGGGTTGTCTATGTGGCTGAGGATCTCCTTGGTGATGCCTGAATAACCAGGGGCTTTATTTTTGGTATTGGAGATGGCTCTGTTGAGTTCTTCCGAGGTGATTGGTTTGGACAATGGGCTGTCCACTCTCAGATCCTCCCATATGATTTCAGGGGAAGGCTGAGTGCGGTGTGTCTGGCCCCGGAGTTCATCAAGGACGAGCTAGCTCCTCGTGGGTACCATCGAGTCCCTTATTCTCTTCATTTGTGATTCGGAAGATGTTCCTCCATATGTCCCTGAATATGGGTTCTTTGTCTTGGTCGTCATATATTTTACTTCCTGCGTGGTCAGTTAGATATGATGACTCGTTATGGCTGCAACCTTTCAATCTCTTAACTCGACGCCAGAACTCTCCTGGATCGTTGTATGTATGTGAGAGTTGTTCAACTATTTCGGCCCATTTAAGGTTGTTTTGTTCCAGAGATCTTGTTTTTATTTCCTCCCGGATTCTTCTGTATGTACTGTAGCTTACGATGTCCCAACCATGGGTCTCGGCTCTCTGTTGTAGCAGTTGGAACTGGTTTGTGAGGGCTATGAGTTCTGGAGTCTGTTGTGGGTGGGGGAGAGTTCTGTTGCGTTTGAGAGGCGTGGCCTCCTGGTAGGCTGTTCCTATGGCTTCACACCATGTGTTGATTTCTTCGTCTATTATGTTCACCGGCTGAGTGTCTATGGTCTGCAGGATTGTCATGCCCTTGACCTCAAGTTTGGCTGTAGCTTTTTCGTTGAATAAGTCCCAGTCGGTCTGCTTGGCGATTCTCCGTGGTGGAGCTGGTATAGTTATTGGTGTTGCTGAGATGGTCATGATTATAGGTAGGTGGTCGCTGGAGGTTACAGGGCCTTGTTCAAAGAGATAGTTGTGGAAGCATCTGCCGTTTGTTATTGCTATATCTGGAGTAGTGGCGGAGTTCCTACTGTAGAACGTGGGGAAGTCTGGGCCTATTAGCTGGGCTTTTTTGTTTGTTATGAAGCCAGTGAGGCCTCTTCCAACAATGTTAGTTGTCCTCTTGCCGTCTAGTAGAGGATGTCTGGCGTTCATGTCTCCAATGATGTAGGTTGGGTGGTGGTATGATAGGAGTCTGTG